TATTTAGTCCCTGCAGTCTTCTCAACAAATGTTCACATGTTATAAAAATCGCGCAGAAATCTTTGTCTCTGAAGTCTTTCAAAAATATATGAAAGCTTACCTTCTATCCTGTTCGCAATATTGATAAGTTGTGTATATAGCAGTCATATGTTAACGTTGGCCTTGGTGATATTCTTATTCAGTGGCAGAACAGAGAAAAAGGCGCTCGTCTGTGTGCTCTCTGAGTGTGTGTGCTTTTTAGTGCATGTTTCATCATGAAGAAAAAGTTATCGCTTGCGCAAACCACACCCTGTCGAAAGCCGAGTGTAATTATTCAGCTACATAAAAGAAATGCCTCACAGTTATATAGGCCATCAGTAAGTACCGCCCGTACTTATACGCTAGACCATTCCTGGCAATCAGTGACCATCGCTCATTGTTTTGGCTCGCGAAACTCAAGGACTCTTCTGGAAGACTTGCTAGATGGAGCCTGCATCTACAGGAACATGACATCACCGTACAAGTCCGGCCACAAGCACATTGACGCGTATTGCTTGCCACAAGCACCAGTCGAGACTTCATCCTCTGAGCATGAACAAGATTCCACATTTCTTGGAGCTGTGAACGTGTCGGAAATGGCTCATGATCAATGACCAAACCCAGAATTGCTCCTTCTCATTGAATACTTAAAGGAGTAGCAAGTCAAAATACCGCGAGTTTTCGTCTGTGGATTACGTTCCTATGCCCTCCGCAACAACGTTCTCTGCAAGAGTAACTTCAAACACACCGGTGAGACGTTTATGCTTCTCATGTCATAGTCACTGCGAGTGGAAATCTTAGAATCGTGTCATGATGACCTAATGGCAGGTTACTTGGGCATCAATAGGCATTTGGTGAGAATCCGCGAGAGATATTGTTGGCCCAAAAAGTATGGATTCTACAGAATTATGTCAGATCATGCCAGGAACGCGAAAGGCGCAAAGTACCACCTCTGAAGCCAGCAGGTCTTTTTCAAACTGATAGGGCCACCGAAAGTTCCATTTGAGCAGGTCAAAATGAGTTTGCTACGACCATTTCTGACGTCACTGTTGGAAAAGCGGTGGATAGTTTTAGCAACCGCCTACATAATCTATTATGCCGAAACGTCGTCTCTCACAAAAGAAACGGCAAATTAAGTGGCTCAGTTTTTGTGACCCAGACAGTGCTGTGACACGGTCCACCTAAAGTCCTTATAACTGACACAGAAACTGTGGTCACTGCCAGGCTAGTACAGTCTGTTATGAAACTAACGCACACCGACCACAAAAGAACTACAGCGTACCATCCGCAAACTAACGGTTCAACTGAAAGACTAAACAGGACGCTCGCTGACAAAATCGCAATGTATGTGGAGGTCGAGCATCGCACTTGGGACAGCGTATTACGTACGCTGCACTTGCGTACAATAAGGCAGTGCAAGAGACAGCCCACTTCACGTCATTTCAACTTGTTTACGGCCAGACAGTAACAACGACATTAGACGCGATGTTGCCTGTCAACACGAATGAAGAGAACCCCAACATCATGAAATATGTAGAAAGAGAAGAAGAGGCGCGGCAACTGGCATGACACCGCACTATTATAGAGCAGGACGTCGACGCGCACCGTTACAATCTAAGACGAAGGGACATAAAGTACTCTGCTGGAGACCAAAGGTGGGTCTAGACGCTTGTACATGCACGTCGCCTATCAGGAAATCTTATGTGGCGCTATTTTTGACCCTAACAAGGTACTCCGTCAGCTGGGCCATTAAACTGCGAAGTGATCCTTGAAGGTGAAGTATGGAAAACACGACGCAGGAATCTCCCGGAAGTTGTACATGTATGAAACCGTAAAACGAAAGAAACTGAACAACCGAACTGACTCACGTGCTCCAACACCAAGACAAGTTCTATTCTGTGGAAACTGTCAGCCAGCTGTACGCATCGGGACGATGCATTCTATAGGAGGGGGACTGATTCCCCAGTTCGACATTCGCAGAGGATGCGTGCAACAAGTTGCGTTCGTAAAAGCTCCACCACACAAGTGACAAAAAAACGCCATCCTGCACGCGCCACATTGCTAGGCCACGGGACCGCCCCGAGCCTCGAGGGGTGAAAAAGAGAGGCCGACGAAGTTCGAGATAGCGAGCAAGGCACACTTTTGGCCGACCATTTAGTTTTACGTTTACGGACACAAGTTCGCCCTAAATAAATAGTTGTTATACTACAAGACGCTATATTTATTGGTAACAGTATTATATATAATTAAATGTGTGAATGTATGTATGTATGTATGTATGTATGTATGTATGTATGTATGTATGTATGTGTGTATGTATGCATGTATGTATGTATGTATGTATGTATGTGTGTGTATGTATGTATGTATGTATGTATGTATGTATGTATGTATGTATGTATGTATGTATGTATGTATGTATGTATGTATGTGTATGTATGTATGTATGTATGTATGTATGTATGTGTGTATGTATGTATGTATGTATGTATGTGTGTGTATGTATGCATGTATGTATGTATGTATGTATGTATGTATGTATGTGTGGTTATGTATGTATGTTGTATGTGTGTGTGTATGTATGTATGTATGTATGTATGTATGTATGTATGTATGTATGTATGTATGTATGTATGTATGTATGTATGTATGTATGTATGTATGTATGTATGTATGTATGTACGCACGTACGTATGTATATTGTGAGCGCTGACTATGTACTTCATCTTCATCTGTATGACCAAAGCATTCTAGTGATCATCATCGTATGTCACGCGGGCTGGGGCTCTTTGGCTCATGCATCTGGATTGAAAATATAACCTACTGCCGTACCGTACGTGGTCTCATAATCTATCTATCCATGTATCTATCTATCTATCTATCTATCTATCTATCTATCATCTATCTATCTATCTATCTATCTATCTACCTACGTATACTTGCTCTCATAACTGTTTTATTAACTCTACAAAAACAGGGCGTTAGGGAATGTTGCTAATTCATCATACTTCAGAAGCACGGCAGAAGCACGGCCACTGGATCAAGTGCGTTATGATCCAGCGGCTGTGGCAGAAGCCATACCGCAATAACAAACAACGGACAAGAAGTAGACTGGACAGTCTGCTTTTTTTCCATTGCTCGTTATTATGTTCATGTGCATTCATCATGTGTTCGTTATTGAACTATAGCTTCTGAATTACAATTATTAACTCTAAATATCTGTACATGAAAATTGGGACTAGCTGATATGAGTGTTGAAATAACATAAAGGGTCCGTCACAGTATAGAATACAAACGTCAGAAATGCCATCTACATCATGGTTAACATCATACATGACACCGTCTTGGTGCTGCAGTGGCCGTCGCATTATTGTAACGTACGATCTAGTCGGCATAACAGGACACGAGTACATGACAAAGTAAAGCACAGCTTGCAACGCGCGTATGAAGTCACGAACGAGATGACACTCGTGGCAAGGTCTTTGTGCTACCGTGATCGCTTCGTTAACTTCGTGTTTAGCAAAACTGTCATAGTCTGACGTAAGTGCATGACTAAAATGTATTGTAGGTCATGACATGAATAGCGTCACGTGCGTGTCATCCGTCTTGGAACATAATTACCACAGATTACATGATACAAGCGTCGTAATGTCGTTACAGTGGTTTCATTGGCATGGTATATGCCAAAAGGTGCGTGCGTGTATAAAAAAAGTGTTAATGATATATCTTGATCTGTCCTAAAGCAAAACAATGTTTCATATTGAGATTAATTAATACCTGTGTCACACGGGCGCGCAAAAAGTCTTTTAAGTAAGCGGTCTTTTACGAAGTTGAAAGACTTTTAACAAAGAGGTGTTTGCGCCGCAGACACACGGCAGCAACGATCTCCTTTTAGTGTTTTCGTTCGAAGACGCTATAGCGAAAGCGTGGCGCTAGCAGTTAAAAGAGAAGCAATGAAAATAAACGATGTATCACAATGTACAAATTAAAGACTTGTTGCACTGCTCGTTTCTTCAAATAAATTTAAGAATAAGAGATGAAGAAACACCAATGTGAAAGTTTTTTGCACTAGATAAGGAAGCATTCCCATAACTAGCGACGTGCACAAGTCCGTCTGGCACCACTGTGCTTTTATTTACCGTATTTGTTTTTTGTTGCTTTCGACGGCTCTCGACACGTTATGGGCGACCGTACGGGAGAAAAAGCGAGGATCGCAAGCCTCACGGCCTGCCTTCTCGCTCTGGAAAGCGAGGCAGACGCTGCAAAAGCCGCCAAGGAGAGGATAAAGCAGCGCAAGACCGAGCGTCACCACGTGATATTGCCGACGCGTTGTAGCTGCTTACGAGAGTAGAAAAGGAAATAACCATTAAAAGAGTTCATTACACCTTCTGCAGGATATGAAATTTGTTTTTACAAAGAGTTTTGGTGACAGAAAAATAAGCATTCGCTCTTTTTTCCCACCACTCGAAAATTGCTGGCGCCCACTGGTTTCGAGGCTACTCATTCGGAGCCGTAAAAGAGATCGACGAACGCCGTTTACGAAAAAGACCGCTCCTGAAAAGGAGTTCGCTCTGTGCCGTGTGTCTGCTGTCAGAAACTCCTTTTCGGAAAAAGACCGCTTACTTAAAAGACTTTTAAGTGCCCGTGTGACAGGGGTATAAGGCCACTTGGTTCATGATTGAAAATGAAAACTAGAAAAAAAACCTACCGAGAAACAGTCAGCTTTGTCCTGTCGCCACTTTTTTCTGCGTCTGTTCTTTGATCATTGTTTTGTTCTCTTTTGGTTCCTTTTGTTAGTCTTTTTTGCTCGTTTTAATCGTCAATACGGTGTATGCAACTCCTCGTTGTCTGGTTTTTACCACATTTATTCGCATAATGCATGGGATGTGCGGGGTTTCCAGCACTTAGCCCATTTTTTTTTAAAACACTCATGGTTAAAACAGATGTCCTGTTAATGACAGTATATCTGTTTTATTTTGCAGCGTTGTGTTCGAAGGGTGAAAGTTTCAACTTTTCAATCAGGTAAGAGATCAACATGGGATTAAACAACCTTGGCAGTAATGTATGATGTCATGAAAATTGAATCAACTGCAAGAAAATTACCACAATATTATTACTGAAATATCTCTTCTTTTTTACTCATGATATTCTTGTTAGAACTTCAGAACTGCACACGAAATACTAAGACCTTCACTTTTGTTACGATAGCAGCGAGAAATAGCGAGAAAGGACATGCTAAAAGCCGACACACAAAACAATACCCCTTCATATGGCCTTTCTTTGTAGCTTTCCCTTTTAACTATTGTGTTTCAAACCTAGGTTCAGCAACAGCTGCTAGAAAAACAGACGCGATAAAAGTGGCCCCGTACCTGAATGCTTCGATGCCGAAGACATCAAAAGACTCTTGCGCGTGGAGGCACTGCGTGTGTTATGGACGCCATCTGGCAGTAATGTCGGAAAATAAGTTTTTTTTTTCATATATAAATCAGGGCAACCGGTAGACGGCAACACCATATCGATTTAGCGAAGCATAGGAAACACCTGCTTTTTTGTTTATAGCATCGTATTGTCAGCGCAGCGTAATTAACACTGCCGTCTTTATTCATGTTTCAAATAAAGACGCACAATATAGAAAGCTCGCGTATTGACGTAGCACCCAAATATGCGCAATATTTGCTTCTTGATTAACAATGTTCGTTAGTATAAAGGCGACCAAAAGATCAAAATTGGCCGCGTTTAGCAAGGGGTTAAACTTTTACTCGGTTGGCTGAATCTATTGACAGAAAGACAGACAGAAAGACAGACAGAAAGACAGACAGAAAGACAGACAGACAGACAGACAGACAGACAGACAGACAGACAGACAGACGGACAGACAGACAGACAGACAGACAGACAGACGGACAGAGAGACAGACAGACAGACAGACAGACAGACAGACAGACAGACAGACAGAAAAAAATTCTTCGTTGAAGTATCTCGCGAAAAAATATCGTCTTTAAAAAAATTAAGCTTAAGGTTAGTTTATTTACCTTTTAAGAGGGACACGTAGGAAAATCTCAGCACAAACAAAGCAATAAGATACGAAGAGCGTTCCACGCGTCTTCCGTACTGGGAACATGCGTCAATGTTTTAACACTTCGAAAGAACCTTTAAATTCTACAAGCAGGCAATAGAAGAGAGCACGTTTTGTTGGAGTGATTAATAAAGCACGACATGGGTAATTCAGGTATGTGGGTTCGCCAACCACTTCCAGCACTAACCTACCGTTTTGTTCACTGCTTCTTTCCGTACTCCGATTTCGCGGCCTTTCACTTAAGCAGAAAACTGAGAGCACTTCGTATAACGAGCTTTGGTGTGATTAAGACTTCCTGAAATTTAAGAAAATCAGATTCTCTTGCTATTTTCACTCAAAAAATTTCTAAACAATACAATGAGTACTCATACTAATCAGGAGTTTTCGCACCGAATAAAAACCTAACCATTGCCTATAACAGGTGATACGAAGACGAGCCAATGTTGTCATTGTGCAATAATTAACTCATTAATTCACGAATACTGCAGGTTTCTTTCGGGCACTTCACTTCAAAACAATCTGACAAGACACCGAGGTGCATGGAAGCACACATTGCATTTTAAAATCATTGTTAATTGCTGCAACTGAACATTCAAAGCAACATCAGGAGCGGGTGAATTATGCACACGTAGCAGTTCACTGCATTTCGCATTTGATGCATTATAAATAACACAAAACGCAAAGGTGTACTGATTATTTACTTTCAGTACGTTGTTGTATATCAGTAGTTTTATCAGTCACAAGGTACACGGTTGATCCCCCTGTCATAGGAATCAGTGTAACATGAAAGTAAGAAGTAGTTGAATATTTAGTGTGCACTAATATAAGAGGACTTGCACAATGTCGCTCGGTGTTTAATAGTTTGATTCGCTTTACAGGGGCGGATCCAAAGGGGGAGGGGGTAAAAGCTTTCGCTCACCTCCAAAGCCTGTCAGCTCCCCTTCCCCATCTCTTCAGTGCCTGCCATTCACCTGCTATCATCAATCAGGACAAAATTAGTGGGACACCATTGAGCACACAATAAGAGTATTTATGGTATGATAGAGTTTTTGTGATAGTAAAAACAATGAAGTAATGACCACGCCCCCTCTCAAATGTTACTACAAGCGACCACCCCCCCTCCCACCCCTAAAATGATTGTCTGTATCGGGCGCAGACCCTTTAACGTTGACGCAGCGACGCCGCTTGGTGGTACATCCCGACGACACATGTACCGATGATTAAACAGACGTTTATCGTAGCTGTGGCTATTCACTGAGAGAGCGAAGTTAGAGGAAGGAGTGACACAGCCAGAAGAGCGTCGCTGATTGTCCGCATAACTTCGGCAATAGTTGTCTACTCGTAGCACGTTAAATAGTTCCGAAACACTATGGCCCGAGTGGAGAGAAACGCAGCGCCCATTTTGTAGCTGCTGTTGGCGGGCCGCTATTTTAGGGCCGGGGGGGGGGGGGGAGTGAGCGACAAACGAGGCTAATGTCACGCTAGAGGCGCTACAAGTACATTCTAGCCAAGTTATAAAACTCTACTTCAGAAGTTTTCTTCAGCACTGTGGAGGCTCCAGAATCCCTCAGAAAGCACGATTAGCCCCTCTACATATATTCATTTGCCAGGTGTCATCTGTGTATTGTTTTCACGGTGTATGCTTCCCGAATTGCAGTTAATATGGCAGTTAAAATGCCAGTTAATTAATTGAATTTACAGTAAAACTTTTCAAGTTGGCCAATGAATGGAAATCTCGACAGCTGCTGATGCCCAATGACAACGGCGCATGCAGCCTTCACCGCCAAAACAATTATGACAAAACTGTCTCGGCAGCTTTCCCTATCGTACCATATCCCGTTGGCTCACTCTGCTGCTGCTGATTACCGTATCACGCGGTGACAGAAAATCAAAAGCACACTCATAAAGCTCTCGCTCTTTTCGCAGTGAAGTTCGAGAAACGATGAAAGTTCCTTGCCCTTTTCTTTCGTCAGAGTCAGGTGCCACGGCCGAAACGTTAGTAAATACGATCCTTTTCTTATGTGCTATCTGCAAGTTAATTCATTATAGAAAATACCCGGACCTGTCGTGCCTTCCCTTCAAGTTATATATATATATATATATATATATATATATATATATATATATATATATATATATATATATATATATATATATATATATATATATATATATATATATATATATATATAAAATAAGGGAAAGAAGTGTATACCTAAGGGCTTGTTTTTCCGTGTTTTTAACACAATAATAATGAGATATAACAGACAGTAATGCCAAGGAATGTACAGGGGAAGTTATTAACATTAATGGAATGTAAATAAGAAGAAAGAAAAGTGGATGAAAAGATTACCAACTGTAAGCAGGAATCGAACCTACGACCTTCGAATTACGCGTTCGATGCTCTAACCACTGAGCTATTACAGCGGCCCTCCCTCCATCCACTTTTTGGGTTTATCTGTGAATTTAGAAGTAGGGGCGACAGTCAGCGCCATCTATAAGCCAAACAACGAGTGTGAAAACACTCTTATGCGCATGTTTGGCGTCACGTAGCACGTGAACTTATTATGAGCGGGCAGCTGATTAATTGTCCCTCTTATACAACCTAAACACACCAAGTCTGCCAGTACGAGACCCTCGTTCAATGAAATAAGGGAAAGAAGTGTATACCTAAGGGCTTGTTTTTCCGTGTTTTTAACACAATAATAATGAGATATAACAGACAGTAATGCCAAGGAATGTACAGGGGAAGTTATTAACATTAATGGAATGTAAATAAGAAGAAAGAAAAGTGGATGAAAAGATTACCAACTGTAAGCAGGAATCGAACCTACGACCTTCGAATTACGCGTTCGATGCTCTAACCACTGAGCTATTACAGCGGCCCTCCCTCCATCCACTTTTTGGGTTTATCTGTGAATTTAGAAGTAGGGGCGACAGTCAGCGCCATCTATAAGCCAAACAACGAGTGTGAAAACACTCTTATGCGCATGTTTGGCGTCACGTAGCACGTGAACTTATTATGAGCGGGCAGCTGATTAATTGTCCCTCTTATACAACCTAAACACACCAAGTCTGCCAGTACGAGACCCTCGTTCAATGAAATAAGGGAAAGAAGTGTATACCTAAGGGCTTGTTTTTCCGTGTTTTTAACACAATAATAATGAGATATAACAGACAGTAATGCCAAGGAATGTACAGGGGAAGTTATTAACATTAATGGAATGTAAATAAGAAGAAAGAAAAGTGGATGAAAAGATTACCAACTGTAAGCAGGAATCGAACCTACGACCTTCGAATTACGCGTTCGATGCTCTAACCACTGAGCTATTACAGCGGCCCTCCCTCCATCCACTTTTTGGGTTTATCTGTGAATTTAGAAGTAGGGGCGACAGTCAGCGCCATCTATAAGCCAAACAACGAGTGTGAAAACACTCTTATGCGCATGTTTGGCGTCACGTAGCACGTGAACTTATTATGAGCGGGCAGCTGATTAATTGTCCCTCTTATACAACCTAAACACACCAAGTCTGCCAGTACGAGACCCTCGTTCAATGAAATAAGGGAAAGAAGTGTATACCTAAGGGCTTGTTTTTCCGTGTTTTTAACACAATAATAATGAGATATAACAGACAGTAATGCCAAGGAATGTACAGGGGAAGTTATTAACATTAATGGAATGTAAATAAGAAGAAAGAAAAGTGGATGAAAAGATTACCAACTGTAAGCAGGAATCGAACCTACGACCTTCGAATTACGCGTTCGATGCTCTAACCACTGAGCTATTACAGCGGCCCTCCCTCCATCCACTTTTTGGGTTTATCTGTGAATTTAGAAGTAGGGGCGACAGTCAGCGCCATCTATAAGCCAAACAACGAGTGTGAAAACACTCTTATGCGCATGTTTGGCGTCACGTAGCACGTGAACTTATTATGAGCGGGCAGCT